TGGGATTATTACAAATAGACATCTTGTATGCAATCGGGAAGGTAATCCAAATACTAGTAAAGTAGATACTCTGGACATTCAGCATAAAAAGACTCAAAGAAGGAAGATTTATTTAGGAGGATTGTAAAGCGAAAGTTGTTTTAGAAATAATTCCCAGTACTCTTAGATATGTCGTGAGTGATTTTGTCGAGCAACATAATCACGAGTTGTTTAGCAAGAGCAATATGTACTTATCTCGTTCAAAGAGAAAACTTGATTATTCCCATGAAATTTTCATTCATAATTGTCAAAACAAAATATTGGTCCTGTAAAAGCACATAGACTGTATAGTGCTCTTCAGGTCGGGTCCTTCGGTCGAGGTGGATTGGTTTCTGATTTCAAGAATGCTAGGAGAAATCTTAATTGTTACATAGGTGGGAGGGACAAGAAATTCCTTGTTGACAAGATGAATGACAGGACGAAAAATGTCCCATCATTTACTTTTGAGTATAAAGTGTTGAACAAAAGATTGAATGCTCTATTCTGGGCTGACGAAACAGCAAAAAAGATACTACAATTCGTTCGGAGACGTTGTATCACTCGATGCCACATTCAGCATGAATAAGTATTCTAACCTTTAATACTTTTACAATAACAATTTCATTGTTTTCAGTTATGTAAACTAATATTTTATTTTTAAAATAGGTATGATATGGTTTTTGTTCCATTCACTGACATCGTTAACCACAAAAAATGTGTAACATTTGGTGCTGGACTTTTAAGTAAAGAAGATGGAGTTTCTTATGAATGGTTGCTTAGAGCTTTTTTGAAAGCTTTTAGAAAACAACCTCAATTGGTTATATCTGACCAAGATCCAGCTTTGAAAAAAGCTATAGATAAGGTTTTCCTGTTGGCACATCATAGGTTATGTATGTGGCATATAACAAAGAAGTTGCCAAATAAGGTATGCATCAAACGAATATTATTCTTATTTTATGTTATCATTCTACAATTATTTTCTCATATTCTAACAGAATCAATTGCTTTAACTCTTAAATTGTACTCATCCTCATGAAATTTCATTTTATACAGATTTTATCAATTGAAGATGTAGCCACCAATCAAAAATTTTGAAAGCGTTTTCACTCTATAATTTGGAATTCTAAGCTGGAACCACATGACTTCGAGAATGTATGGCGTATGATGTTGGAGGAGTTTAAGATTACAGATAACAGTTGGCTGAATACTATGTATGGTTTGCGAAGATCTTGGATCCCCGCATTTTTCAAGCACATTCCAATGTCTGGTCTTATGCGAACTACATCACTGTCTGAAAGTCAGAATTGGTCATTTCAAACCACCACATTAATCGGTTCTTATCTTATCATGTTTATGATGACATTTGAATCAGTCATGGAACGACAAAGACATAACCAAATTCTAAATGATTTTAATACTGCCACCACTTTTCCTAAATTCATTACCTGTAATCTGAATGAACCTCATGCTTCAAATGTATATACGCGCAAGATTTTTTATCAGGCTCAGAAAGAGATATCAAGAGCTGAAGATAATTGTTTCCAAAAGAATGTGATATCTTCCAACGGTGTTGACACAATTATTGTTTTGGAGAAAAAAACAACATAACTACTAGGCAAACAAATGATGTCGATGTTGATGACAAAGATGAGGAATACAATTACGATTATCTTATAAGGGATACTGAATACACGGTATATTTTTTTTTCACTTTAATTGTCATTTTATCATTTGAATTTAAACACTAAAAATTTACAACTTAAACATACTCACTAATCATCTTATATATTCCAGGTCACACACTCAACCAAAGATGGTTCATTCAAATGCACTTGTATGCATTTTGAACATGTAGGGATCTTATGCAGACACATATTCTGTGTGTTTAAGTTTTATGGCATTGAACAAATTCCTGAAAAGTACATTTTGAAATGTTGGCGTAGGGATGTTATTCCAACAGAATTACTGAAAAGACGCTTCAATAGTTCTTTTGACGATTCTAATTCCGACATGACTACTATTGATATTTTTTCAACTGTTGACTGTTGTGTGTCTTTTTTAAGCCATGGTGCAGCTAAGTTAAAGTTATACCTTGACGAGCAGAATAAGTTGAAAAAAATTCGTAGACAATTGTCCAAATCATGATCTACCGAACAGAGCAGAACAGTTCAAGAAGCTTCTAGGCGTAGTAGGTCCTGATGTAGTATCTGATGTTAGCGACATTCAGAATCCTACAGATATTCGTAACAAAGGCTCCGATAGTCGTGGGAAAAGATTAAAATCTACAAAAGAGATGATTGAGAAAGAAATCTCGAAAGCTAAGAGAAAGTGTGCTACATGTGAACAGATGGTTCATCATGACAAAACAAATTGTCCTTTAAAGAACGCCGAGAAATAATTTCCTTATTTGTTTTTTTATTGGTTTTAGTAGAAGGACATTTCATTTTAATTTTGTCGGTTCACATTCAATGTTATCTTTTATGTCGTTTAATAAAGTATTCACCTTGATTGCTAGTGACGATGACATTGTAAATTAATCTAACAATATTTATCTTTTCTTATTACTTAAAAATAATCATATAACGTAATACAAATATTCATTCCATCAATTGTATAAATTCATTATTTTCCTTACTTACAGCAAGTTATACAATTTTTTTCAAACATTTTAAGATTGATTTTCATTTTAACAAAAATGGTTTATTGCTTAGTGTAGTATACAAACAATGTGTACAATTTATATACAAGTATTCATTATATCATATTTTCTTTCAAAAAGACTATATATTACGTAAACATATTCATTCCAAAAGAATTTTATATCTAAACCTACATTTTCCATCTACATCCAATTTGCATACAAGTATAACATATTCTGCTAGAATAATAACAATATAAACTACTCTATCTGCATAGAAAAATTGTAAAAACAGCCCAGGCACACAACATAAGAAGTCGATGAAATTGACTTCATATTTCCTAAAGATAACCATTCCAAAAGAATTTTATATTTTAGATTTTTATGCATTATACATGTACACACACATACTTAATTTCAAAAAGGGTACATTATACCGAAAGATACATTTGTCATCTACATCCAATTAATAGAAAATAAAAAACTATAATATATTCTACCAGAACCATAACATTTACTATATTATATCAGCATCAAAAAACTATAAAAAACAGTCCAGTCACACAACATTATTAACAACAACCTTGAATTATATTAACAACATTATTACAAAAAATACATCAACACATACATTATTAACAACAACCTTGAATTATATTTAAAAAATCTTCATAATTTAATACTAAATTTTTATTCATAAACAGCCCATTAAAAACTGATTATTAAACTACTTCCCATTCTACCAGAATTGCTTTTCACAATGCACAACATCATCATCCCAGAATTTAAACAATGCATCAACACAACCTTTATATCAAAATTAATATTCCATTATAAGATATAAGCTTAAATACTGATAACAATACGTCATAACTTCTGAAAGACAAAGTACTTTTTCAAACATCTAACATAATGCAGAATCGTGTTTGAACAACCACAAAAAAAAAGTTCAGCTCATGCCATGTCAATATTTATCTTAAAAAAACCAAACTACCACTTCAAATTCTTACCTACGACCCTTTGCTTTTCTTTTTTTCTTCCTATTTTTAGCTGACTCTTGAAGAAGCATATCTTGTTCCAAAATATCCAGCTTACGAAACGCTTCAAAATCTTTAACTATCATAGTCTTAAACTTATTGAACTCAGTTGTCAACAATCTTGCCATGTATTTCGTCCTTAACTTAATTATAGCACTCACATCACCAGGCATTTTACCTGTAAGACCACACTCCCAACGCCCTTCATTTTCCCCCATGTAACTTTTCCATATGCCTCATGAGGTATACTCCACATTCTGTTCCATCTTTTTCTACTTGCCAAGATATGTTCATCACCCGTCCCGCCTTAAAAGTTAAGGCTTTTGCCATTGGATGATGTTGTGATGTCAAGTAGTTGCAAACAGGTTTTTTCTGTCATTAAATACAATATATACATCAAACATAGTCTTATAACATTCTTTAGAATGAAAACCTAGTGATCAGAATTTTATTGATTATCTTACCACCAGTTTTGGTATCATGCTATACTTTCTTTCCAAAGTTCCTGTTCTCTTCACATGATCTACTATATAGTATAAACTTGATCTCAGATCAAAGATGAGTAAGTAATACTTCCCATCATCGACTATGGGGAAAGAAAACCTGTACACATTAAAAAAAGAAGTTAATTTAATATTAAGTGATGCAACAAATATTACATTTACTAAATAAACTTACAAGCGCAACATCTCTAAAACTTGGCTTGACATCATCAAACTTAATGTGGATTCGCAATAGTAGAGTAGCAAAAGCCTACATTTCAGATCTTCCGACTTTAATTCATTCAATATCTCTTCTGTCTGTAAAAACCCACATCAAACAATATTAATTCTACAAAAATAAATTTTAATTTAAAATTAATTTACAAATAAATTCCATACCACAATAGTTGTATCGAAGAAAAATCTTGAAAGCGATGATTCATCCTGTAGTTCTCCATTTTTTAAAAAACGCAGCCCAACAATCAATTATTTAGAATGCAAAAACATCCCTTGATTGAATTGATATGCAAAACCCTGATGTAGCAAATGACCTGTTCCAATGTCCCAAATCTCATCCCTGTGACAAAAATTATATATAAAATTAATCTAAATACATTCAAATTTATATTCTAAAAATATAATACGTGTCATATATATACGAACCCATCATCTCTATTAGATGCAAAAAATGAATTGCATATCCATGTTTCATCCTTAGTCAGTTTATCCCCAACCTTAACAATTCTTTCAATATAGGGCGAATGAAATATTTTGCCTTTTAGGAATATGTTTTCCCTTTTGTCATCATCATCTTCTGCAGCATTATCACAACACTTCTCCTATATTTCTTCCAACCACATTATCCCCACTCATTCCTGACATTAGCTTTTTCCTTCTATACACCTGTAACTCATTTTCATCCAACATCTTAATCATTTCCTCATTCACCCCTGGAAGTCAATGAAACTGAGTCATTGTTAAAGAATTGGTATCAACAGGTGTACTATAATTGACTTTTTTTTTTCTACATTAACTTCAGCAAGTATCAATCCTCTAACAGGTAAACTATTTCCTTCACCGCCATCACCTACATCATTCATATTTAACTCATTACAACACTCAGGCTCATGCACTTTTTTGTTACTTGCCCCTTCTTGCACTTCCTTGAAAAGCTCATTCATCTTTTCCATCCACTCATTCAGCACCACACTATCAGGGAATTTTTCCAAACCATCCTTCAACGCAACCTCCATAGTACTTTTCTATGTTAGAATTACCCCATAACTATGCTCTATAACAGCAGTGTATGTCTGCAATACATATAATTAATTATTAATTACATTACAAGAATATTTCACCATCTTTAATATTATAAATGTATAGACAAATTAGTAGTATTCCACAAATTGTAATTTATATTCTACCAGAATATACATTCAAATATTAATTACAGTAATTACAAATTAAATAATTATCCATAAAGAAACATAATATTACCTCCTCGTCTCCAAAATCCCTCTTAAAACTGAGCAGTTGTTGTTCTTCACCTCCTGTTTCATCCCTCATATCGACATCATCATGCTCATCCCGAAATTGCCTCCCGAACCCTCCCAAACTGATTTCCAATCGTTGAATCTCTAATAAATTAGCACCATTAATATGCCCAATAAAAGGAAGCCTTTTATCTAACTTGATAGAATACTTCATGTTATACACGTACACCAACTAAAAAACACATAAATCTTTCAATATCATCAATAATAAATCAATACCAAATCTATATTTTCATATAACACTATTTCAAACTTACAATCAGGAGTGTAATAGGACCACTTTGAAAAGTCTTCTACCAACACCAACTTCCTTACCACTTTTATTTGATTTGTTCCCATCAACATTGACTCTATGAAGTTGTTAACAAAAGGGTCAAAAAATTAAGCCTAAACATCAAAGTATCCTTTGTTGTAGCCTGAATCCTTCTTAAATACTCCTCACCATTGAACTTATCACAACTATATTGTCCCCTCCATTCTTCCAGAATTTGATTTCCCTTATCACACAATGGCAACTCATTGATGTCTTCTCCACCAATTGGCAACCCCATCATATCATGCACTGTCTGTTCTGTTATCTCAATAACAGAATTTTGTAGGACAAGTCTTTTACTATCGGCATCATACACATCTAAAAGATAGTAGCTTAGTTGCCCCGGATAACTTGTAATATTCACTTGCAGGATTGATCCAAAACCCATTCTCAAGATTGCTTGTTTTTGTTCCGGTGACATCCCCATAACAGCTGCAGTGACGTTATCACATTTCATTCTGGTTGGAAGGTATCTTAAACCAGGTGGATATTCCTTATTTGTTTTTCTAACATTATCTTCTTGTTCCTCTTTGACAGATTCATCAATTCCCTTATTCTTTAAATTTTTACAATTGGAACTCTATCATATTTCCTCTTTGACCTTATCTCTCTTTCCAAAAGTAGTACATTTAAAGGTTTAGGACTTTTCTTTTGTTCAACTGATTTATCAAGCTTTTTCTTTGACCTTCTTTCTCGTTTCACATGTTGTTCTTCTTCCTGTACTTGTTCTGATACAACACACAATAAATAATATAATGTTTAGTATAAGATATTAGATATTATGTTTTAAAATATAAGATATTCCTTATATCTAACAGAATAACAATTATTTCAATAACTTATATTCATACATATTCGTATTCTACTAGAATAGTCTGCAATAAACTACAAAACCATCATAAATTATTTGAAACATAACCCACTGCATATACATACTTATATTCATACATATATTCGTATTCTACTAGAATAGTATACATAATTTGTACTGTTTCAATTTAACTCATAATTCTATCTTAATAAAAATTAGATAACAAATAGTACACATATTATACAACTTGTTTCAATGATAACAGTATAAAAGAAAAATTAACAAAAAAACACCCTTTTTAAACTTTATCAGATGATGTTACATACAAATTATAATGTTTAGTATAAGATATTAGATATTAATGTTTTAAAATATAAGATATTCCTTATATTCTAACAGAATAAAAATTTATTTCAATAACACAATCATCATACACACAAATTTCCCATTCAAACAGAATACAAAACAAAAAAACATATTACAAAAATATATTAAAATAACTACAATTCTAACAGAATATAAAATAAACTACAAAAACATCATAAATTTCATTTTGAAACATAACCTACTGCATATTGAAATACTTATATTCATACATATATTCGTATTCTACTAAAATAGTCTACAAATTAGAATTCTACCAGAATCATATACATTTAAATTAGAATTCTACCAGAATCATATACACCCTCTTTAAACTCTATCATATTATATTACATACAAATTAGAATTCTACCAGAATCATATACATTTTAATTCAAGACATATAATCCACTATCTATGTGGATAGTCACACTCATATACAACATTCCATTCTTCTAGAATTTTACACATGTCAACTTCATCCATATCTAAGAATTCTGAATGTTTCGGTTTAAGTCATTAATCATCTACAAACTTTGATTCCATTAGAATATAAAATATTTATACCCTGCTAATTAACTACTTATTTATAGAAATTTTCATTACAATTTTAGCTAATAAAACAACAAGATTAATTCTAGGAGAATAACAAACATCTTCAGGTTTATATGAATAGAACATTCGGGCAGAATAACATAGACAATAATTTCATTGTATCATATTATTATAATTTCAACGCATATTGTAATGAACAGTAATTATTCTTAAGAAATTACAAAAAATGACACCTTCTTCTTCCAAACCACAAATCATACATGCATAAATGATTTTAAATACACTTCCTACACTATAATACATTTTCGAACTCAATAAACATCATCTAACACAAAAAAAATTGTTACCTTCAGGTTCAGCAACGAAATCATCATCGTTAATCTCCAAGATTCAAGGTTGTTTCTGTTGTGTTCTTGAACTTTGACTTGAATGAAGTGGATCGTGTACTCCTCATTCTTATAGAATACCGTTCACAGAAGCCCCCAAATGTCGATTCCGTCTTCTAGGGTTAAGTGTCGATATTTATATGAAAAACCTTCAAAGGATCTTCCGATTTTAAAGATTGATTACAAGAAATCAGAATGTTTTTCAACCTCCAAAGGAATTGGGTTTTTGATTTTGTGAGTATGCGAGATATTTGGGATTATCGGTTGATCACTTCCATAGTTATCCACCGTTTCCTAATTAAATGACGACGCAATGTACCAGTCTACCCTTCCTTGACCGGTCAATTAATGAAAGCCTATTAATTTGATTTTTTTTCTATTTAGTTTAAAAAGAAAATCACTTTCTTAATTTACCACAAATGATTGTCCTAGAATCCTTTACACAAGCACACAATACTTAGCAAAACAAAATAACCTAACCCTAATATATATATATATATATATATATATATATATCTATATATATATATAATATATATATATATAGAGAGAGAGAGAGAGAGAGAGAAATTTCAATAAAGAACTATTATTAATCAATGAACCAAATAAATGACGAACCAATCTAAAACTTCGAAATTTAAATCAATCAACGACAAAAGTAAGGGTTGTAGATTTTACAATGTGGGCGTGGAGTTTATTGTGGATTAATTTGGATTTAGTAAGTGTTTTTATTGCATTTTTATTTAATTATGGCTGGTTTTTACTTATTGGAGAGAAGGCTACGTAATTGTGGATGATGAATTTTGCAGTCTGAGCATATATGAAACGAGCACTATGTGTAAGTTCGTAATCTCTTTGGGTAGTAAGAGTAGAACTTATTCAATTCATTGTCACATCTACTTTTTTTCGCCTCTTTCTTTCATAATGTCAACCGACAACACATAGAAACAATATATTTTCCAATCCACTCAACCCATTCAACTAAAAACATACAAATATGGTAGAAATCCTTAAGTCATTGATATGAGTGAGAGAGAGAGAGAGAAAGAGATAGAGGGAATGAAATCGGGTTCCTCAAACTGCTAAAGAGCCTGCGTGCGGTTCTTGTGCAAAGTCGTAGCAGCAACTTTGGGGTACCGTTGGTTATACCGACCCACGGGCCTCAACCTGTTTCTACACCGTCCACCCTTAATGTTGGCTTCAAAGATTCAAAAGGTAGTGGTTTCTACCAATGATTCTTGTAAATTATTAACATATATAAAACTAAAATAAATATTTTTTTATACTATACTTCATTGTACCAATCTATTATAAATCTCTAGAATTTATTTATGTTGTTTATGATCTACAACAATTTGTAGAGAACATTATATATAATTTTACTTTGTAAAACGAGTGTTATAAGTGTTATGTATTGTTTATTTCAATTGTTTTTCCATTACCAAAAATGCTAAATTCAAATGAGAATAATTTTTAAAACATATAAGATGCAAAATTAAGATATTTCTTTATATAATGATTTTGATTTTATTCATAGCAGATTTTTATATTATATTTTTTCTCCTCAACTAATTTTGTATAACAGTTTTCATTTGTTATAATTTTGAAGTTAAATTATTGGTAGTTTATAAGTTGTGATTTTGGTCTCTTACTATATTTTAAAATTATATTTTTGGTCACTTACATTGTTTTTTATAGTTTCTGTTTTTATTATTATTATAATTTCTTAATTAATTTTCATTTGTAGTATTGTAATAAACAATATACCTCGTCCCTTTTCAAATCTGCAAGAAAGGAAAAAAATGCTCCCAAGGAAGTTAGATGGTCGCGAGGCCGAGAATGGTGGCTGGACGGAGGTCCGTGGAAGAAAAAAGTTGGTCGATCCAAACAAATGAATTACATCCTTCTTTGTATCCAATGTCCCTGATGGAACAAGTAAATTCACACTTAAAGATGTATTCAAGCCCTTCGGAAGAATCACAGACGTTTATATTCCAGGAAGAAAAGACAAAGGCGGCTCCTATTTTGGTTTTGTGAAATTTGGCGGTGTCAAGAATATCACAAAACTTGAGAGATATATGCAAATGGTGAGATGTGGTCGGTGCATCTTGAATATTGCAAAATACGAGAAGAAGTTCCAAACAGGTCGGAATCATCCAGAGAATAGAAGAAGGAATATGCTCATGTTCAACGCCCCCCCCCCCCCCAATACACGTAAATGTTGATAAAGTCAATCAAAGAAATGGTAGATCTTATACAGAGGTTGCGAGGGCCAAACTTAGTGCACCAGGTATCCCCCACCAAAATCTCATATGGTAGCAATCAAACAGGTTCAAGCCATGAAAGCATGGAACAATTACACCTTAGTTGGTTAAGTGTGACATCCCCATTTTTATCGGCCATAAAAGACCGATTTTGTTTATGCTTTATAAAAATCAGAGTACTTCTTTCAATAAAAATGTTGCGGAATTTGTTCCCAGAAAAACATGATAATTACCTTATCAAAGCATTTCCGAAGAAATGTATTTTTATTCATTTTAAAACATTTGGGATGTCATCGTCAATATAGAAACATAAGCATAAACAGAACTTACATTCATTATCACTAATGATTCATATCTCCTTAATCTCTCAGTGTAAAGTAGCTTCATATCGACACCTGTGATATAAATAAGCTTGAATGGGTCAGGTTGGGAAACCTGGTGAGTACATAGGGTTTTCAACCC